CCGGGTGACGCCCGGGGCCCCCCTGCACCCCCCGGGGCACCACCACGGGCACCCGCACGAGGAGGAGCACGTCCGGGCGCCCAGCGGGCACCACCAGGCCGGCCGCTGCCTGCTGTGGGCCTGCAGGGCTTGCAAGAGGAAGACCACCAATGCCGACCGCCGTAAGGCTGCCACCATGAGGGAGCGGCGGCGGCTCAGCAAGGTCAATGAGGCCTTTGAGACCCTCAAGCGCTGCACCTCCACCAACCCCAACCAGCGTCTGCCCAAGGTAGAGATCCTGCGCAACGCCATCCGCTACATTGAGAGCCTGCAGGCGTTGCTCCGGGAGCAGGAGGACACTTACTACCCAGTGCTGGAGCACTACAGTGGGGAATCGGATGCCTCCAGCCCCCGCTCCAACTGCTCCGATGGCATGGTGAGTGCCCCAGGGAGGACACCCTGCCACCGAGGCGCCCCAGACGCTGTTGGTCCAAACCTGCGCAGGGCGAGTCGCCTCCTCCTGCCTTTCCTATAGCAGCTGCCTTCTATACCTTCCCAGGCAGTAGACAAAGCCCTTTCTCATGCCTTGAGCTTCAGCAGCAAAGGGAGGTGGGGTCCCCCGCATGCCAGGATCTCAGGGAAAGAAGAAGAATCTCTTACACACTTTTTTCCCTGGGATGAGAAGTTGGGCAGGTCCCCCTGTGTCCCAGGGGAGCCGGGGGAGAGCTGCTGGGGGAGCACTTTGGGAAGCTGCCTGGGATGGGTACCTGGGGGCATGGTGAGGTCTGAGCCCTGCCTGTGCTCCTGTAGCTCCTGGGGCATCTGTTTCCATCTTCTGCTGTATCATTACCTTTGAATCCCCCAGCAGAGAGGAAAGTCCCCCTTAGTCATGGTAGTTACAGGGAAACTGATAAGAGCCTGGGTTTTGTTTTCTGCAATTTGTCACAATAATGGGAGGAGGGTCTAAGCAACAGGAGTTCTTTTTCTTGACCCTTAGGAAAAAGGTTCTCCATTTCTCCTCTTACTTCATCCCTCCGTAGACATTTACCAGCAATCGGAAGGAGACCCCAGGCTTTCTATCCTGCTTGTACATTACGGCAGTGGGGGGGAGAAGAAGGTTGGGTGCCAGAGAGGGTGTCCCATCGCCGCATCTTTTCACTGGGACTATAGGCTCGGACTCTGGTCTGACTGGCGTGGTGGGACGTGGTGACTGGAGTGCAGGACAGCTGTCTGGGATGGGATCTTGACAGCACTTTAAGACCTGAGATTTTTTTTCTGTGCTCTGGTGGGGATAATCATTACTGAGTTGAATATCTGCGATTATAAGATAGTTGGCAGATTGGAGAGAAGATTTACACAAATGATCCCTCCTCAAAATACAGCCTTTTTCTTTTGTGAGAAAGAGTAATTTCATTGTGGATTAAAGTATTGGAAACAAATATACTGGTCAATGCTTTGGGGCTTTTTCTGTACAAAATGGAAATGGGAAGAGAAACTAAAGGAAATAAAAAGGGACAAAAGTAGACTAGAGGCTTTTAAGAGGAACTCATGTTTGGAAAAACCTTCAAAAATTAAATCATAAAAAGACTCATTCCCCTCTTGGTCTCCCTGTGGTAAATTGAAGATACGTGTAGGGCAGTATCTGATCAGAATGCTGGAAAACCTCATCTCATTTGTAAAGCTACAGCATTCGATGCAACAACAATGGTAATTTTCCTTTGGAACAGCTGTGCCACATAAAATACGCTGGGGTGAATCCCCTTCTAGCCAAATTAAGTTCTGCCTCTTTCAAAGAAACTACAGCTTGATGGCATTTCAGCCAGGACTGGAATGATGGCACAGACTAGGAACTGAAATACGAAATTGGATGGTTACTGGGATTTCAGTAAATGCTGTCCCCAACCAGTGACCTCACTCCGATTGGTCTCCTTTCCAGATGGAGTACAGCGGGCCTCCTTGCAGCTCTCGCAGAAGAAACAGCTATGACAGCAGCTACTACACAGAATCACCAAATGGTGAGTGTACGCCGTAATGGCTGTGTGAAACATGGAGACAGAGGCAGTCAATATAGTAAACTTCCCCATGCCTTCTCCGTCCTCAGTTGTTTAGCTGACCCCAGCTGGGCTGAAAGAGGAACCTGCCTTTTCAGCCAGCGAGCTGTTGATGCTAATGGAAGCATTGGATTTCCTCTAGATGTATTTGCAAATATGGGGATATGTTATAGCTGCATTTCCTATCTTGCAAATACAACATCTGGATAAAAATATATTCCTCTCTTCAACTAATTTTCAGTGTTTAACCATGTTTTGCATGAAGGCTTCCCTAACTTTGTCATTGATCCAAACTGGAGAAATTGTCAATTGATTTCAAATCTTCCCTTCCCTTTCGACGGACTGAAATGAAGCCCTGGATCCACCCTGCCCCAAAAGTAGCATACTTTGGTTGGGTCTCTCTTCCATTTTGCAAATTACAGTCTCTGTTTTCTGATAATTGGTGTCCTTCACCAATATTCATTTCCTCGGAATCTTTACATGCTCACAGATGCATACTGTTAGCCACTCACTGGGGTTTTATGAAAGAACTACATCCTACTGACATTAAATATCCATTGGATAAACTGATCACCTTTTTGTCTGTTTTTTAGATCCAAAGCATGGGAAGAGTTCTGTTGTTTCCAGCCTTGATTGCCTCTCAAGCATTGTAGAGAGGATTTCCACAGATAACACCACATGTCCTATACTGCCTCCAGTGGAAACTGTTGCTGAAGGGAGTCCCTGTTCCCCCCCAGAAGGAGCGAGTCTGAATGATAGCGGAGCCCAAATTCCGTCCCCCACCAATTGCACCCCACTTCCCCAGGATAACAGCAGCAGCAACCCTATCTACCAAGTGCTATAAAGGCAGGTCCAGCTGGACTGCACTGAAAACAAATTGCTCCGTTCAGCCAAGCTCCGAGACCTGCCTTCTAAGACTGAAGATTTCTCAAGACTTGTTCCAGTTTTAAAATATCACTCAAAATTCCTTCAAATATATAACTTTTCAAACCTGTATTACTTCAAAATACACCTAGTTATTTATTGGTTGTTAAACTAAACTTATTTAATATGTCTAGAGATAAAATTGTATACCATGAAATGGCCAATGTTTAATCTGGGCTTTGGGGAATAGGAACCTGGCTCTTGAATGCAGAGGAGAATAGAAATCTACAACAGTAGTGGCATTGACAGATCCTTCCTATTACTCCTGTTCTGGCCAAAATAAGGTTGTGGACCATTTTTTATAAAACTTTTTGTATAATTGTAAATAAGAGTTGCTTTGCAAAAAAAAGGGAAAAAAAGAGGAAAAGAAAGGGAAAAAAAGAAACAAAAGCAAAAATTAAAAACAAAACAAAAAGGGGAAAAAAATTTAAAAATATTTAATATTGCTTGGTTTGTTGTGTCAAACTTTATATATTTATACGATGTGGTTGCCAAAAATGTTTTCAACAGTATTCTAAATAAAGACCCTTATTTATAAAATCTGTGTTGTTATCTTGACTTTCATTAGGGCTTCTAGAATTACTAGTGCATTTAGGAGTGGTATTAAGATCACTGCCTTGGCAGGAAGAAGATACAGGCTCTGATTCAGCAAAGAAATCAAGAACATGCTTCAGTTGCACTACTTTCAACTACTTTGCATAAATATATTGCTGAAAAGGGGTCTACTTTCTTCATGTTTTATCTTGGTGATTTCTAAACCAAGTCTTGCACATCAGAGGTCATTATTAAAGAAATCTGTAAGGTAAATAAGCATGTTTCTCTTCCTCCCCCCAAAGTTTACAATTACATTATAGGACTTGAGCTTACAAAGATGTGTTAGAACTAGGAATCACAATAAATTAGACTCTCCAAATTCCAGTGCAGCTACCAAAACTTAAAGTCATACAACAGTATCTCACAAGACCAGGTACTACATTCTTGGACAAATGTTCAGATTTTTCATTCAAGTTCTAATTTTCAAGTGTTTGTACCATGTTCATATATTCTCAGGTATTAGAAAATAATTGCAAAGGATTTTTTTGTCATAAAGTTCAAGGTATAGAGCACAGTTTTTCTCAAGTTCCGGTTGGAATTTAGGCCAAAGATGGGCAGTTTTAATTTGGATTTGAACTTTACGCATCTCTGGCAGCACTACTCCAGGGATTTACTTCTTGTTCAGAGCCTCTCTAAAAATAACGAGTGGGCTGTGTTTCATTCAGTATATATGTGTAACCTTGCAAGCTTGCCATGAAACTGAAAAATGTTAAGCCCTGAGCAGGTTGTCATTGGTAAGTAACCGTTAGGGCATTTCTGTACCTTAGGACAAGAATAGCCAGCAGCTACAGACAATATGAAACAACCCATTTCTTGTCATACCCCTGTGAATTATAGCTTTTATTTAAAAATCACAGTAAAAAAAAAAAAACCACCCCAAAACCCAACCCAGATATTGTCATCAGCTCTAAATACTTTGATGACAGATCAGTCATTATATTCTCTCTTAGGTGACTATTAAAGAGGGAATTCGTGCAGCTCTTACCTCTTAAGCGGGAAAAAGAAAGAGGGAACAGCTAATTCCATGGGAATGTCTCACACTCCTTTAGTCGTAGGGGCCTTGAAGATCAATGCTCTATGGAGAGGAGGGGAGTGAGCGGCCTTGTGTGGAGCAGAGCAACGCACTTGCTTCTCCTTCCTCCTGGGGCAGAGGCGTGCTCCAAGCTTGCTGTCTTATCCGAAGCCAGAGGGGCAGGGACGGTAGCAGCCAGAGGGATTCATTCCTCATCCGTGCGCTTGTGACCATGGTGGATGATAAATCAGAGTCGAGGCACAGGACCATTCTGCAGAGCAGGCCAGTCTCCCATGGATCGGAGGGGACTCCGAGGCAGGACTGGCCCCTCAACGCCTTCATCAAAGTCCAACTTTGTAAAGGTCTCCCACTGATTCACTGTGGGCAGAAAACAATCCAGCCCATAAAGGTTGAGCTTACTCCTTTCATTTTTCCATTAAAAATAAAAATTAAATTAACTTGAGAATGTGCTAATTCATACTAGCATGAATCAGGAAGGTCTCTACTAAGGTCAGACAAATGCCCCAGGTTAGTTTGAAGCCGATATCACTAACTTACAAAAACTAAAGAAAGGCAGTTAAAACCTCACAAATCAATGCCTCGCACATCAACCTTAAAATTTTCATTGCCTCCAGCAAACACTTGATCAAGCCCATAATGCAAAAGATCAAAAGATGCTTTTGTGAAATATTATAGACCTTGCCATCCCCATACTCTGAGGCTGGTAAAAGTATCAATTTTACTGTCATGTAAATGGCAACCAAGAAATATTTTGCCAGCTCAAGAACTATAGAGACTCTATACATACTGGCAGCACAAAGTTCATGCCTGTCTCACTATGCACCCCACTGCTGTGGGACACAATAGGGTGTACCTGGCTGTAAAGCTGGCATGGCACAGCGGACACGGGGCGCTTGTGCTCAACAATGTACATGCAGTTCCATGTGAAGTCATGTATATTGCATTTCACTGATTTATTTTAGCAACCCAAGTTTCCACACACTGATGTTAATGTTACAACAGAGAACAAGCATTTAGCACATCCCAAAATAGATGGATGGATGAAGAAGAAAAAAATATTCACAGATTTCCTATGCAGAGCCCATCTTTTTCCCATTGCTGTCAGTGAGAAAAGTCCACTGGAGTAAGGCCAAAGGGTGTCGGTGCTCATAAACACAAGTTTAGGTTACAGCTATATTTATTTTTGAACTTAAATAAGGAAAACTTGTTCCCTGTGCAATTTCTTCCTGTCTATTTCTAAGGTAAAATATTTAAAACAAATGCCTGAAGTTACTCTACTTGCCTGTGCATCAAGAGGACAGCATGTTACTGACAGAAGTATATCCCAGTCTATGTGCAAATATTTTGAAGCTGGAAATATTTGGATTCAGAGCTTTAGTTTAGTTCTGACAGTTAATAAAAGGAAAGTAGCTGTCTTTGAACATAAAGATAAGTGTGTATCTTGGGAATGTTTGATTTGATTTGGTAGCTTAAGAAAGCCCTACTGGGGCTGCATGACAAACCAGTATTATTGGTTTATCTTATTCAAATTATTGCAATGGAAAAAGCAAAGAGGAATAAATTTATACCTCACATATATGCTAAGTGCTTTGATTTTAAATTTCATCAGGTCATTTGCAAATATGAGAATGAAGAGGATCCTTTTTCTACTTTCAATATTTCACAACAAAAAAGTGCAATAAGGTTGCTGGGTTTTAAAAATAACAATGTTACACACCATTTCTCACATTATCACTAAAGCTGCTACAGAAATTTTTCAGATACTGAAAATTCAATTTTAGGTAAAATGAATATATGAACTATTCCTGGTATATTTGTTCCTTTTAAAATATTTTACATCTGTATCCAAAAATATTAAAGAAATATTAAGTTGGCAATTACTTTGCACCAGATGCTGCTCTTTTAAAATGAATTGTCATTTTAAACACAAAATAAAGACCTTACAAAACCCCACTGAATGTGGAAGGAAAAACCGTTTTCATTTTACAGCTTGTATTTTGCAGAGATATTTGAAAGGGTCAAATTGTGCAAAGGGCAAAACCTGCTCATTTTACTCATAAAAATTAAATTCCCATCTTCAGAAGAACTACATCCAAAAGTGAACAGACAAGCAAATGTTTTGTACCTCATACTACCCAAATGTTAATGAGAAGAAATTAATACTTCCCTTTCATTTAAAAATTATTAATTTGCTCCTTGAAATCAGTGGCAAAACTTCCAACTTCAGTGGCAGTGAGGCATACCTGAGTACCTCATTAAGTACTATTTACTAATGCTTGTCAGCTTGCCCTCCCTCAGCCTTTTAAATCACTTGTTTTCCAATAGATCTGTTGAACAGTCACAACTTTCTCTCCTTGATCTATGCAGCATGCTCCCTTCTCAAAAAGTTTGTTGCACAACTGGGAATGTCATTAAGTGGAGACCAATGGCTCTCCTTTCAATATTTGAGATTTCAGGGCTAACGAGGGAGAGAATGGTCCCTAGTGTAATACAGAAGAGCCTCCAGATAGTCCTTTCCCACCCAGGTCCCACCAGGAATTAGGAACATGTCTGGCATAAAGCCACCTGGGCCAGTAGAAGGAACCCAGAAATTTCCCTGTGGACCCAGAAATCTATCTTTTGCATACACAGACACTTCTGAATAAAGACCTTAACCTTGTAAGCTTAATAGTAAAAACTGACCTATCCTGTAACCACCGGATAGAAAACCTCAGGGTTTTCCCAATAATACAGTCAGCATGGCATTGAACTCACATTTTCTTTCTAAAACATCAATAACTTATCTTCTACACGCATCTTAGCAACATCAGCAAGTGTGCTATTTTATGTAAGACTCGATGAATAACCCCACATTCATCAATAGGGAGGCAAATACTGTATATGAAGTGAAGCTTTCCACTATTTATAAAAACAATGTGTTAAAAACTCTGACAGACAATAACCCCCTTAATCAGAAGACTGGGGGAGCTTGTGATTGTGGTTGGGGTGTTGTTGGCTTTTTGCTTGGAGTCAGATTCACTCAGAGGTCTGTGTCTCAGCACAGTCACCTAGTGTTGCAAGCCCATGACTGTAAAAGGGGGGCCTCCCAATCTCAAAGGACCAGATCTGGAGATGCTGGATAAAATCCTGAACTGTTGAAACTCTCTGAAACAGTCCTCCCTAACTCACCTGAACTAACCTTGAGCCGTTTGTTGGTCTAACAGCAACATCTGCTGGATAAGACGTAAATTGCATTTCTTTCTGAAATCATCTCTTGGTGATTTCAATGTTCTGTTTTCTCATCTTTCCATAATGGAAAATTCGTTGGCGGGAAAACAGCAAAAATATTCACAGTCTTCAGTCAGCACCTGGAGCCCCATACACTAGGAACAGCAGGAAAAATATGTTGGAAAAGCCATGCTTTTCCCTGCCAAGAGCCTTCTACATAAACAGAGAGGAAAATTGTAGGAATAGCATGGGTTTTTTCTATTACTGCACAAATTTTGGGGTACCACTCTGTTTTTCTTTGTTTTAAGTAAAAAAGAAAGACAAAAGGAGAGAGAAAATGGAAGGTCTTTGAAGGCATTGTATGGCCTGTGCTGCGAGCAATGGTCTGGGGGGAGATAGGTTGCTTACCAGAAGGCAGGAGACAACAAAAAATATTTTTACAAATATATTAATGACAAAAAGAGAGCCAAGGAGAATCTCCATCCTTTATTGGATGTGGGGGGGAACATTGTCACCGAGGATGAGGAAAAGGCTGAGGTACTTAATGCCTTCTTTGCCTCAGTCTTTAGCAGGCAGACCAGTTATCCTCAGGGTACTCAGCCCCCTGAGCTGGAAGACAGGGA